TATTATCCCATTTAGCTGTAGCTTGCATTTTGTGATTTGCTTATCGTGCTTACCCCAGGAGGCACAAAATACTAGCAGCAGCGTAGGTCAAATTTCCATCTTCTAGAACCGTACGAGTCATGACTCTTGCTTGACAATACGGACAGATCACTTGAACGGGAAACTCTCCATAGATTGGCTGAACCTTGCCAGGAATGGGTTGGCTAACTATTGGCTGGTACGACATACTGTAGAGATAATTCTTCGTAGATATTCGCTTTCCTTGCCGTGGTAGACACGCAGCGAAAAAAWTCAGAATTCTAGGAATCAAGTTCAGAAGTACAATCAACCTGATGAATAGATGGGTCTTGATTTCATCGACTGTATACAATTGTGTTTAAATTGTAGGGATTCAGACGAAGAAACGTAAAYAAAAGTTCTTTATCTGTTGCCGTTTTTAATGACTTGAAGTGTTTCACAGTTTCTAKAAATATTTTTCTCTTGAAACTTTTTTGGCTCAAAGTAATTTGAAAAATTGGAGCCAAGCTCAACAGGTGTTTTGTTTCTCACGAATGTTTGACTTGTGGTCGTCTCGGTATTTCAGCTGTTTTTATAAAACTCCACAATTAACTTCCAGAATTGTTGTATCTGTTCTGTAACCGAAATTCAGTGCTTTMGCGATGTTTTTTGAAGATTTTCGTTCAAATAAGACAACCATGGATTTTGGGTTTTTTAAGGCATCTGGTAAATGTTGCACATGCAAACTTGTTGTTTCGTGCAAGCAAGGACAAGGCCGTTGGAGAAAAGAGTTTCGTAGATTTTAGTTTGAGCAATACGATTGTGTCAGAATACAGAATACTATCAAAAGATCATTTTCGATGAGAAAATCTTCATAAACGTTAGTACAAATTTTATTAAATCATTAGTGTTATTTGTTTAGCTGCTTTTTATATCCTTCTTTGTCAGCTCTAGCGATGACGAGTAAGTTCAGTGTTTCGTTCTTATTTGCTAAACCTTCCGCCAGTAATCGTTGACCAAGTGGGAAGGCAATACTCGTAAGCTTAAAACAAAAATTCTTGAACTTCAAAATTACAAAAAATTGCTTAGGAAATACTGTGAACGAAGGTCCAATATTGTAAAAGTCCGTTGTAACGTTATATTATACTTGATGAAAGTTTAGCAAAACTCGGTAATTTTAGTTACAAAATCGAACGACTTTTCGTTGTTTTCTTGAACATGAATTTCCATTTAAGTAAAGAGTTGAACGCATCGTTCATAGTTGGAATCATTTTCTTTCTGGCGGGTTTTTTCGTCGCCGAAATTCAAAGCTTAAACGTAGTGGAAGTCAACAGCGGCAACATCGACAAGATTGTGGACGGATCCAAGTTTATTTTTGTGTTTTTCTACGCTCCTTGGGATAAACAATCTCAGAAAGTGCTCGAAGTATACGAAAAAGTTGGAGAGGAATTCTCATCCAGGGAGGATATTATCATTGCCAAAGCAAATGCATATGAAGACGTTAAACTGGCAACGAGATACTGGATCGACCGCTATCCGTTGTTTCGYTTCTTCATCAAGGGAAGTAAAGTAGAAGAAACGTAAGTAAAATGTGTGAAAACCAACAAAGTAGGTCTTCGTTTCCCGTAAATGTGCGGTGGGGTGGTTCTGAAATGGCTTCCATTGTGGACCAATCAAAACGCTATACAATTTTTGGTATCCAATCACATTGCTTGAAATTGGAAGCCATTTCACTGTCATGATGCATGCATCGTGCGTTTCAATTTTTTTAACGAAATGGAAAATGGTTTTTGCTCTCCTCCAGTCTTTTATTGCCTCGCCTAACTCTCTTCCAATCTTTCAATAAGACCTCTTTTTCTTAATTATTTTCGTGAACATTCCTTACAGGTATAAAGGAGGTAGAAAGGCYGAAGATTTCATCAGCTTTATTCGGTCTCGTTCATCCATCACATTCAACAAAGAAATYTTCACAAGGCCAGTCATCGAACTAGACGACTCGAATTTTGAGCGTATAGTTAAAGACAGGACCAAAAATATCATGGTAATGTTTTACAATGGTTTCTGCAAACTTTGTAGACAAATGGAGTATTCYTATCATCAAGTGGGGCTGACGTTCCGTAACGAGCCTGACTGTGTGTTGTCCAAGCTGRATTGTGATGCGTACGTTCCTGTCTGCTTGGAACAAGTRATTGCGCATTACCCTACTATCAAGGTGAGTTGCGAGAATCTAGTTTGAGGGATTTTGTATGCGTTAAATGTAGCACTTTCCCCGAGGGATGAGGACAAACTTGAGCAAATGTTCATGCACATTTCTTGTGCGGAGTGGTAATACGAGCAAGACTCTGCAACTGCAATAACTGCAACAGGTGCTGCGCGATTTTGTTGCCCGCATTACCACACTCAAACGTAACTAATCTTAATTTCCCTTAGATTTACACGAAAAAGAATAAAGACGGTTTCATCTACGAACCAGGCAAAAACCAAGAGTTTTACAGCGAAGCGAACATGACGACTTTTATGAATGCACTTTGTAGTACGCAGAGGATTTCGAAAGGCCGCCTGGACGCAAAGGTAACAGCACATCAGATATTACACCGTATTCAGTTAAATTCCCTCATTTTATAAGAATAAGAAGCTAGGATACGAATAAGCTTATTATTGGGGAGATGGCCACCTTCGAAAGAATCGCGCTTCTACAACTGAATTAAGAAGGTTGCATGGTGGTGGGGATAGAACWTAAAAGCATGCAAATATGCGAATATGTGAACGAAAGATATTTTTAAATACACGGTCTGACCTGATATTCTTAATGATGATAATGTTGATAGTAGTTGTTAAACAACTTAATTTTTTGAGGGTAGTGGCCGTTCGTTTTTTACTTGATAAACGCCATGTAGAAACGTACCCAGTAGAAACGTACCCAGGAGACGCGTAGTGTGCACTGGTCGCGTAATATCTTTATTTTCTTGACCAGGCTGGCAGGTTGGAAGAATTTGATCAACTCRCAGTACAATTCATGAAAGACTGGAGCAAACGTGAACAGATTCTCAGGGAAGTAAAACACAAGTCCTCTACCCATGATTCCAAGGAGTACGCGGCTTATTACGCGTCAGTCATGGGGCGCGTCATTAAGGAGGGTGGTCACGTGATCGGACACGAGATTGAGAGAATTGAACTCTTGATTGTAGGGCAAGTACATCCGAGGAAAATAGACGAACTGGAGAAGCGTAAGAACATTTTGAAACAGTTCCATTCGCTGCATCATGAAAGAGATGAACTATGAACCCAAAAACTACCTCGCCCTCTCCTCCACGGTTTGATAGAAGACTGGTAACTAATTAGCGTGTCTCGCATGGAATTATGGAACTAAATTGAAGGAAGCAAGCACGAAGTTCCATCATTGATAACGTATTCCTAATTTCAGCCCCACAACTCCATGCTGAACGAGTTTTTTCCCCTTTGCTTTTTTTACCCCTCTAAGGCCACCGAATAAATACGACACCAAAGTAGCTTATAAAAAGATTTTAATTGCCGCTTGCAAAATTCAATCACTGATTTATTAAAAATGATAAATATTTAAGCCTTTGAAGCAAAAGTCTTTTTTAAATTGAAATCCGAATTTCCTGAAAAGAGTGGCTTACTTGATTCATCTTTTTTGGGGATGGTTCTGGACTGAAATACAAATGACGCAGCCACAGACAAATATCAAAAGTATCCCCAACGAGACCTCCATTTTTAGCCTGCATTTAGGCCGTGTGCCTCTGCCGGAGATGACCAGAAGATGTATGGCTGGGAGTAAGGATAGAAGCTAAGTGAAAAATACTGATAAAAGAAAACTTGGTTCATGTTTTCCATGAATTTTGATTGTATTTCTATCATTTTGGTAGTTGCCTTAGCCTGCGTTTTATCCGGATTTTTTTCGTAAAGTCTTTACGCAGGACTTTGCGAAAGAAAATTACGGATGCAACGCAGGCTATATAGTTGCCTGCGTCTTGCGTTTTGAAAGGTGACAAAATGCAATGCTTAAAGGAGTCAAAAATGGGAATTTTTCTTGGTTATTTCATATTCTGCTTTGACATAAGACATTGGATGTGTAAATATGATTTAGAACTTTAAGATTCAACTGATAATGCCTTATTCTGTGGAAAAAGTTTTGCAGATTAGATGATTTTTTTTGTCAGTCCCTTTTTCAAAGGAGAAAAGCCAAATTCTCACAAGACTTGAATTGAATATGACATAGCTTATTAAATAATTATCAAAAAAACCTAATTATCTGAATTATTTATCAATCTTTTTTGTTACTGTTTTAGTCTTTGCTTAGTTCTTTTTAGTTTTTCGATATTTTCTCGTATATTTGCTCCATGCGGGTCTAGTTTTAAAGCTTTATGGTATTGTCTTTCAGCCTCGTCTAGCTTTCCCCATCGATGATAAAGAACGCCTAGAAAATCAAGCAAACGAACAATCAAAACTGATGTTCACTAACATGTCACGTGATGTTTTCCCGCCATTTTTCAAGCTAGCTTTTCATTAATCTTTCTCGTTCCCAGAGGCAACGTTCTTTTCATTATGATTCCAACAAGAAATTGTAAAAGACTGAAACCAGCTTTTTCTGGTTCAGGTTTAATTGTTTTGAAGATTTTTTCTGTTTTGTTGTATTACCCAATCAGACAACAATGGTGGTTCCTAGTCATTCGTTTCTCGGGAAAAAAAAAACAAAACAAAAAAACAAAACAAAAAAAACAAAAAAAAAAACAAACAAAAAAAACAAGAGAAACGGGGCTCAGTCTGGTAACGAATTGCAGACCAAAAATTATTTGGCTCAACTTACCGAGATTGCCTTCAATTTCTGCTACTCGTGGGTTGATTTTAATCGCCTTTAGAAAATGTTTTTCTGCTTCCTATCATCGATCAAAAAAAGAAATAACAACACCAACCTGTCAATACTGCTATTGAGTGTTTCAAAATATTTTCAATATGTGGCACTAAATCGACCAAAGAAACGTCTGGAAAATAATTTTTGATGTATACATGTAACATTTTACCTCAAAGAGTTTTTCTTGTCCTAGCATGTTGCCCAAGTTAAAATGAATAGAACTTTCGCGTGGAATGTACTTCAAAGCTTCTCTAGCGAGCGCAATACCTTCTTTTCTCTTTTCTGTAATTAGCGAAAAACATAAGTAGTATGCAAGGGAAGAATTCCAGATAATGCCATTGTATGCAAGCAAGGAAAAAAATATTTTTAGGAGAATCCTGGAAATGGTAGAAAATATCTCTTTTGCAAAACAATGCATTTCAAGCCTAGACTTGGAACCGCTTAGCCCTTTCAACCCGTGTTGATCCCCTCGGGGTGATTTTAAAGAAAAGAGACGGAGCAACATGTTTAGGCTGCATTACCTGACTTATCGAGCAGGAGAATGTGGTTCAACCAGGCTCCCACGTGGTTCTTGTTCAAACGAACAGCGTTCTCGAAAGCGGCAATAGCTTCGTCACCTTTTTCCCAGTCAATATACTATCAAAACAAGTAGCATCAAAGCGGTAAGCGAATCTCTGTACAATCTACGTTGCGCGTAGACTTTAGTAAAAGTCCTTCGTCCCCATAGCTCACGCGCGCTGAATAAAGCAAGTCTACGTTGCGCGCAGCAACTGAAAACGTTACAGTCATACATAGCTGTGACAACGGAATAGAGTTTTGGAGGACGTCAATCAAATATTGTTTCCATGACATTGTCAGAAAACTGGCAAAGTTGTCAAGGGCACGTGCCTATGGAATGTCACGGAAACGCCTTGATAGACCCCTCGCATGTGACGTCAAAGCAGCTCTCCATCTGGGGGGGCAAAACACCAATCTCCTGAGAATTGGAACCTGTTGTTTTGTCCCCCAGATTGAGCTGCATTCCAAAGTGCTGCAAGGGATCTATTAACGTCCACTAAACCTAGTTAGTCGCGACGATGTTTGCGCATGAGATATCGATAAAGAACTGTGGACGTCAATCAAAGCGTTTCCATGATATTGTCGGAATAACAAGTTTCCAAAGGCTTCTGCTTATAAAATAAATCATTTATTTTGCATTTTCGTCGTTGCCGTCGAAAATACGCGCTGAAAACTTTAAGAAAGTTTTCAATCTAGTGATTTGTTTTCCAGCTTGTTATCAAAGTAGATCAGTAGCTTTGCTTACCAAATTGCCAAGGTTGAAGTACGCATCGGGGTATTTCTTCCTAAATTTGATGGCATTTTTGTAGCACACCTCAGCTTCCTGCAGATGAAAACAAATTCAGCTTTGTTGTTCTCAGAAACCTAGGTTGACTAGGGCCGGGTTTGGGTGAAAAGGTTTACACGGAGGGAGGGGATGGGAGAAGGGTGAGGGAAATTATGGGAGCGCCCCCCCTCCCCCCTACCCCCGATTACAGTGCGAATCGAAAAACCGCGGGCACCTAGAAATATTCTAGGAATGTTCTATTCTTCTTTGGCCTATCAGAATTGACTTTCTCAAGAAAACGGAAAGATAACAATAATGCTTCTGATTGGCTGAATAAACATTCTTGAAATATTCCTAGGTGCCCACGATTTTTTACCCTAAACTAAGTACCTCCATCTTGTTCATGGCGGCTTTGACTGTCCCCAGGTTCATCCAACCAGCAGCAAATGTATTGCTAAAAGAAAAGTTAAGAAAAGTTTAAAGAAAAATTTATCAGAGCATTCTAAAATACACATTTGAATTTGAATCAAGAACGGTTCTGATTTTACTTGTTGGTAAAAAGGGGTCGCTTCGACTATAAATTTTATACCTGGACTTTACTGCTTTTTCCAGTAACTCCTCTGCTTCGTTGATTTCGCCTTTGTCCTGTTAACAAGTGCAAAGCCAGATTTTAAAATGATGATTTTTGAAATGAAGCATACAGGTAGCCCAATTCTTAATGAAAATAACACACAGGCAACCCATAGCTTGCAAAAAAGAGGTGCGATGTTCTATTAAAATGTCATACCTTTAAGAGATTTCCCAAATTGTTTAAGGCATCGTGGTATGTTGGATTCAGCCTGGAAAATACAAACCAAGGCATAAAATAAACCTGTGAGAATTAATATTGGGAAGTGAATGGATAGTGGAAAGTGAAAAGTGGAAAATGGATGGAAATTTTACCTGATAGCTTCCCTGTAGTATCGCAGGGCTTCTTCGTCCCTGTGTTGGTTCGAGCGCACTTTACCAATATTATAATGTACCTGTAGCATCGAAGGATAAAAACCAGTATCAGTGATGAAACACTGCACTTTGAAATACAACAAGCAACATGGTTTCTCCAGCATGTCCCTTTACCTTGCAGTAGTTTTATACTCATATCCCAGTCAGGGGAAGGGAGGAGCAGGGGGATGGGGTGGCCAACATTTTCCAGCAGTATCTCCATATAATACTAAACCCTACAGGGGGAGGGGAGGAGAAGGAGGGGAAAACGAATTGAAAGGAGTTATCTCTCCTGAAATTTTAAGACTCAAGAAAAACATTTCTACTCTTCTGATCCCCAGCCTGGGCACTTTAGTGTAACCCTCACTCGATTATTCTTTAAAAACACTTTTTACCTTGGCATTCAGAGGGCACACAGCTTCTCCAGAACTGAAAAGTAAATCTTCGTTTACCCATTCACCACTCCTCTGAAAAATGAGTGGGGAAAAGGAAAATGAGTTTTTGATTTGTTATGGTGTATGATGTTTAAAAGTAAATGTCGTTTTTTTTTTTTTTGCATATTCAACTTACTTTAATGGTCCAGAGTGTAAAACAGACTATCATGGTGAACATGCAACAGGCAACATACTGAAAAATGAAGAAAACTTTACGTCAAGAGTGTCATTTTAAAACTTGTGTCTAAAGCAACTTTCAAATGCTCATTTACACATGAAAAATACATCTCTCCTTTGTCAAATATTTTGTTTAGAGTGATAGGCTTTAACCTGGATTCCAGAGACAATTTATTTAAGAGAAAGAGGGTAATCAGAGGGTTGGCAGCACAGCAAAAAAATCCCTCTGGCACCCACGGCATTTTAGCTTAGGAAGAGTTTAGGATCAAAAGCCATTTGAAAGTCGCTACAAATACAACACACAGAAGAACAATGTTACAAAACCACTACTTACTTTTCTTAAATATGCTCTTCTACTGAGGGCTGCAATACCAAGCACAACTAATATACAACTACCAACACTTGATAAATACAGCACACGTTCTGCTATGACAAAACCAACTCTGAAGAAGATATTTGATGCAGGTAGGAATGGTACAATGAG